TGTAACCCTTTACTCTATACGGTTGTGATGTCTCAGGGCATCTGCATATGGGTGATTGTCTTGTCATACATTGGAGACAACTGAGTTCCCTGGTTCACACATCCTTTGCGTTTATTCTGAAATACTGATAAAAATGTCATTAAAATTTTTTCTGCGACCTACCTTCCCTGCTTAAGCTGTCCTGCACTGACACACAATTAATAAGTGGCTTCTCTCCACATATGGCAGCTCAGTGGAAATTATCTGTTTCCTTATCATCATCATTTCGTATGTTTTCATTCTTCTCTCAGTCTAAAAGATCCGCTCTTCCACCGGGAGGAAGAAAACCTTCTTTGCATGTGCGTCTCACCTGACCTCTGTGGCGATCTATCAGGGGACTCTTCTCTTCATTTATTCGCGCCCCAGCTATTTGTATTCTCCCAACACTGATAAAATCATCTCAGTGTTCTTTCTACACCGCTGTCATCCCAGAGCTGAACGCATTGATTTATGGTTTGAGAAATAAAGATGTAAAAGACGCAGCTAAGAAAGCTGTGAGATCAAAGGTAGATTCCTCATGAGATACAGCATTCCAGGATTCACCTAAATCTCCGATTGCAAACTCTGATTGGGAAAATGCAACAACCTTCCCAGCAAGCACACTTCTCCCACAAGGGATTTTATCAGATACTTTCTTTTCACACAGCCAAGTGCATTTCATAACCTTCATAACCTCATGACATAGGAAAACATTAAAAACTTTCAACATTGTTGCTAAATAATAGTCATACTACTCTTCAGTGATTACTAGCTTGATGTTGTATCGAGTTGTCTTAAAGGATATAGTAAATAACTCAGAAATGTGTGTGTGTGTGTGTGTGTGTGTGTGTGTGTATGTGTGTGTGTGCATTCGTAGCATATCTCATTCACAAGGGTAGATTAATGGATGAGAAAAGAAGCCAGATCCCTTGGTTCACATGCCACCTCTGTACCCCATTAGAGAGTGGCACTTTGAACAACTTTTATACTTTCTCAATGCCTCAGTTACCTCTCGGTAGAATAGGGAGAACATAGTATTCACATCATTGATTATTAGATAATTAACTGAGTAAATGTTTAGAATAGTGCCTATACCATATTAAGCACTACATAAATGTTAATTCTGCATAATTATATAACACCTCACATTAATAAAAATGTGAGGTATAATAAAAATGTATTGTATAATAAGGTGGTGAGAAGCAGGGATGTCAGGAAAGCAAAAACCACAATCAAAAACATTTTCTTAGGTGCAATTTAATATGTTGATGAGCATATTATTATGCATTAATTTTCATTTACATATATTCTTTGTTGAAATATCTTTTTAAATGTTCACACTTTTTATTGGGTTATGTGTTTTCATATTATTGATGAGAATTGTTAATATGTTCTGGCTACACATTCTTTGTCAGCTATATGGTTTGTAAATATTTTCTTCAGTTTATCTGTCTACCTACCTACCTACATACCCAATTGTCATATCTATATTATACAGTAGTACATAATAGTAATAATAAATGACTCCTGAAAGAAAATATCTCTGATTGGATTCTGTTGTCTTTTTACATGTAAACACTATCCTAAAATTACATGGTTTAAAATAATGACCACTGGACTATATTCTGCTCTTCCTCATGCTGACTGAGACCCATGGTATTGAGGTGGATGATAGGCTAGGCTGTACAGTCTCTATAACTGACACAGGGATGACAATGGCCTAAAGATTAAATCAGCTGGGTCCCCTTCCCTTTCCATGTAGGCTCAAAGCCTGTCACGTGTTTTATCCACAAGTTTAGACTTATGTAGCAACTCATGGCTTTCAGAGACTGTCTTCATAAATGCTGGATTCAGAAGTGATATATAATATTTCTGTCAATTTATGTTCAAAGCAGTTAAAGCACAGCAAAAATTCAAAGGAAGGACAAATAGACACTGTGTCTCTAAGGAAAATGTGGGAAGTTGTGTACAGCCATCTTTAATCTACCCAACCTGTCAACAGCCCATTGTAGAATAAATTTCATATGCCACATTGTTAAATGAATTAGGCTTTTATTTTTGCTGTGCATATACTTAGCAAAGTCATTGAATGAAGCAATATTTGAATAGCACACATATAGAAAGGAGAGTGATAGACATTTCAATCATTCATTCAGTCAAGTCATTGTAAAAGCAGTGTGAACTCTGGGACCTTTGGAAGTAGTCAGATCACACCAGATCCCAAGGTGGTATAGACTAAGGTTCAAAAAGTATGGAGAATCCCATTGTTATCTCTTGGGAAAGATTTAGGGAGGATGGAAAAGTATAATTTTCAGTATTCCTCAAGTTGCAAAGAACTAGTAAGGATAATCTCATCCTAAAATTATTTTTAGAGAAAAAGTATAATTCTGCTTTTAAACTATTACCCATACAAACATGTTTAAATGAGTCATACTTGCAAATATGAGTTATCTTACCAGAAAAATACAAAACCCAGTATTTTGCTATTCTTTGTACACCACCTTCCACTTTTGGTAGTCTGAAATACTTAACAATAAATATTTAGAAAGCAATTATCTCTTCAAATCCTTATTCTAGGGACTTCAGGGAATACAAAAATAAACAATGACCTTGTTCCTGAAGCTGTAAGTGTAGTAGAGAAATTCTTATAAGACTAAAGTAAACATAATTTATAAAAATGTACTAAGTATAGAGAATGTGATAGAATTATAAAATCAATGAAATGTATGTGAATAGCATGTGATGGGGGGATGAAAGTAAGAAAATGCTTTGTGATGAAAATGCCTTGAAAGGAATATTAACAGAATATTTATCTCATCATTATTCATCATAGGCAAAAAGTATAAACAACCCAAATGTTCATCAGCTGATGAATGGATGAACAAACTGTGTTGTATCTAAAAATGATTTTACCTTTCAGCCATAAAATGATACTAAATTCTCACACTTTCAGTAAGGATGAAACCTGTAAACATAATGCTGAATAAAAGAAGCCTGACATACCCCCCAAAAAAATTGTATGATTCAGTTTATATGAGAAGTCCAAAATAGGCTAACAGAATCAGAAAGCAGAGAAGTAGTTGCCAAAAGTTGGGAAGGAGAAGCAGCCGCTCATAGAGAAGGGTTCCTTGTTGGATTGATGGAAAGTGTTCCAGAATTAGTGGTGATGCTGTGCAATTTTGTGAATATATTAAAAACCAAAGAAGTGTACATGATAATAGGATGAATTTTGTAATATTTTCATTACTTTCCAAAAACAGAAAAAAAGACCATTGAAGATTAGTTAACAGCCATAAATACAGTGGTGAAGGAGAATCTTTTAAAGATGGGAGATACGAAATGAACAATGGAAAGGTGCTGGATCCGATAAGTAGAATTCTATTGGAGTTTTCTTATTTCTGCTTTGACCAGAGAAAGAGGTCATTGTGAAACAATCATAAAAATAATGAGTATTTTTTTCTCAACAGAGCAATGAGGTGATGATAGTCAGGCATTAAAGCTCGTCTTTGCAAAAGTTGGTGCTCTATTCACAGGAGAACATACGGAACCAAAACATAATTCATAATTGATGACATGCTTGTATAATACCAAAGCCCAAGGGCAGTGATTTCAGAGATTTAAGTCCCAAATGTCAGCTGGTAAAATAAATATCTCCCACCTATTTTTCAGCTACTGAGACCTCCTCATCTCAGGTAGGTTCCTGAGTCTCCTAAATTACAGAATACAGAGGAAAATATCTTTTTGGCACAAAATGAGAGATTTTAAATGCATACTTTTATGCTTGCTTACTCAATTTAGCATTATCCTCTGTTTAGTTGCCACAGTGAAATTTTCTTGTCAGAACTGAAACATACTATAATTATTAGTATCCACAAAATAACATTTTAACTACTTTTAAAAATCTAGATTCACTGAAAAGCTTTTACTCCTATCACTTACAAGGATTATACATGAATTTAAGAGTTTTGAAAATTTTATTTCAAAAGTAGGTGTGGTACTATAGTATACATTACATGTGCAAATAACTATGTAAATCACATGCCATATTTACTTAGGTCTAAAAAAATGTATCTGCACCCCACATTCCAATTCTCATATATCAACAGAAATACATACATATGCAAACCCATGACACACACATAAAGACTCCTGCAAGGGAGAGAAGCCTATACATCTCAGAAGCATTTATTGTCCTTCGTACCACATCCATTTTTAGTAAAAAGACACTTGAAATTTTAAAAGGTGCAAATGTATGTGTTAGATCCATAGTTTTCACTTCTCATTATCACTGTTTCTTTGGCCAAGGGACTCCTTCTTTGGTACCAGACCACTCCACAAATGGGTAATGAGTATTGGGGTAAAGCAATATTATATTTCTAGAGTGAAGGTAAATAATGCATATTTCATATCTGACCCACTATTAACAAGAACATAAACCAAGACCAGTAATACACTTTTTCCATTATTGTTAGCGATGTGCTCATTGTTTCTAGAAATAAACAATTGTAATTACTTTAAACCAATCATGGCTTTGAGGAACATAACAATTGTAATTATTTTTTGTGTCCATGTGAATATTTTCAAGCATAGAAAATGTTTTGTCTTATATCTTACAGCCTAGCATTTTTCATATTGGTGTCTCTTCCATACTATTTTGAATATACGAAGAAAGATAAATTCATCCAATTTTACTCCCCGAGATAAGGAAGGTAAGCCTTACAGAAGAACTTTAGAAAGTCATATACCTCATGACTGACATCTAGATTTAGATCAGTTTCTCAACTGCCTATCACAGATATTTTTTATTACTGTCTTTGTACACCTCTTTAAAGAGTGATTATTGACTGAGTAATATTCTGAGTATAAAAAGAAAATTGCAGAAAGAATTTGTGTGCTGCCCTACAAATATTTTATGAATGTCCGGAATCATTAAGCATACATCTGTCATTTTCTTGATCATTTTCTCAACAGTTTAGGTGAGAAGAAGCATGGATAGAGATAATTGCTCCTCTGTGACTGAATTTATTTTCTTGGGAATTACCAATAATCCTGGGATGAAAGGGGCCCTATTTACAGCATTTCTTGTTGTTTATCTTATTAACCTTCTGGCAAATCTTGGAATGATCATTTTAATTAGAATGGATTCCCGGCTGCACACACCGATGTACTTTTTCCTCAGCCACCTCTCCTTCTGTGACTTCTGCTATTCCACAGCAGTTGGGCCCAAGATGCTGGTGGACATATTTGCCAAGAATAAAACGATTCCCATCGTTGGCTGTGCTCTGCAATTTTTGATCTTCTGTATCTTTGCAGATTCTGAATCAATGTTGCTGGCGGTGATGGCCTTTGATCGGTACAAGGCCATTAGCAACCCCTTGCTCTATAGGGTCAACATGTCCAGCACAGTGTGCTCCCTGCTCGTGGCTGGGGTTTACATGGTGGCGATGGCCGATGCTCTGATGTACACAACAGTAACATTCCGCTTATGTTTCTGTGGGTCAAATGAGATTAACCATTTCTTCTGTGATGCTCCACCCCTCCTATTGTTGTCTTGCTCAGATACACAGGTCAATGAGTTAATGATATTCATAATATTTGGCTTCATTGAAGTGAGTACCATTTCAGGAGTTCTTGTCTCTTACGCTTACATAATCCTATCCGTCTTGAAGATCCACTCTGCTGAGGGGAGGCTCAAAGCTTTCTCCACCTGCACCTCCCACTTAACTGCTGTTGCAATTTTCCAGGGAACTATGCTCTTCATGTATTTCAGGCCAAGCTCTGCCTACTCCCTAGATCAAGACAAAATGACCTCACTGTTTTACACCCTTGTGATTCCCATGCTTAACCCTCTGATTTACAGCCTGCGGAACAAGGATGTGAAGGAGGCCTTGAAAAAACTGAAAACTAGAAGGTGGTTTTAAATAGTTGTATTACACAGACACACACATAGCATGGTTGCTGTTTTTATAAAATATTGGATGACACAAGAGTTGTCTGAACCTCAATAAAATGACTATTTTTTCTGAAGTCCAATCACGATAATGTCATTGTTAACCATATGATACCTATTTATTAAATTATTACTTCTAATATGATATTATGAGGATTCTTTGTCAAGGACTGGACATTCCATCCCTGTTATCCAAAGCACCCCACACTGTCTGGGACACAGAGTGGGAAAATCAATGAATAAACAATAAATGAAAAACACTAGGTAACATTTTTGAATGTCTATTATCAGGTATTAACATAAGTATATGCATGTAAGTAATGTGTACTGAATATATATATATAAAATGTTTAATAACTTTAAGAAAGTGCATAAAATGGTGTAGATACCATGAGATTAGATCTATCAAGAACTACACATTAATTGCATTAGAAGTAAAGAGCATTCACCTGTGTATGTTGTTCACATTTGTTTCTCATCTGTCTCTGCTCTAGTTTTAATGATTAAGATATTGAATCAGTTTGTTTAGATAATGTGGAAATGTCCATATATTTGAACGACCACATAAGACTCAAGGACACTCCTAATTATCCATTAGAATTATAGAAGCTAAGAACAATCGAATTTCTTATATTTTCTAGCTGCCATTTATAAATTACTTTGTGTGAAAACATTTCAGAGTGGAAGTACAGCTCCAAGATCTTCAAAGGCACATTTGTGGAGCAATGTGATCTGTCAGTTGATCATGTTGGAAAAAAAAAAAATTATGAAGAATTTTTCTTTTTTACTGAAAGTGTTGCAGAGTGAAAAAATTTCTCTACTCTTCAAGTCTTTCCTAGCTAGTTTAAGAAAAAAACTGACGTAAGACAGACTAACAGGAGAAAAAGAAAAGTTTAATTATGTGTGCACAGAGCTCCAATAATGAACTTGAAACTGAAAAAAATGATCAGGGAGTTTTTATACATTTCAGACAAAGAAGAATAAATCTGTGAAGAACGGGACAAAGAAAATTTATGTTTGGGAGCTTCAATTCATAAGGAACTCTAAACAGACTTTGGGCTGGGGTAATAGATTAATAAAAAGTAAAGTTTATTTGTATAGGTTTTGGGCTCTGCATTTCATCTCAGATGATAAGGATGTCTCTTTGCCTCCTGGTGCGAGGTCAGTACCTTTCACAGGGAAGATTTATTTTCTGCTTTCTCGGGACAAAAGTGGGAGGTGTCAGGGTGTTCCTCCTGTATTGGCTGTTTCTTAAGTAACTTTGAATTCAAAATCATCAATATGCCAAAGTGGCTCACTTGGGGAAGGCCTGCCCTGGGCCCCAGTAAGAGGCTTTAAGGGTTTCCATCTGTGCTGTATTTCCTCAAATAATACACAATCTTTTGGAACTGTTACTTATGAGCAGCAGTGTGGTAGAAAACATTGTTTGAAATATATTGTCCAAGAAAAATAGAGTGTCAGTGGATTGCTGTTTAAAATTAGAGAATGTAAACACGTAATCTGATTAACCCATCTCTCCTTCAGGACAGCCATATACTACATAATAATCTAAAGATTTATTTAATCCACATATTGGCTGTTTTATCAGCTCTAGTCAGTGTGAACTAAAGAGAAGGAAATTTTAAGCCTTATAAATGGAATTCTAGAAATAGAATTGATTCATTCAATTAAATATGGGACTCTTCACTCTGAATTTGCAAGATAAAAAAAGACATTATGGGGAATATTTTTAGGGACACTTGACTCAAATGACAGCTTGGACAGATGGCCTGTAACTCTCTTGGTATTCTACCTAAACAGGGAACATGACATAGAAAGGGTTTGATGTATTCCTGCCTGTTTCATTCCTCATCAGTCTCTCCCCTTATTAGTTATTCTATAAGACATCCTTCTTACACATCCCTAGTGACTCTTTTCCAAATTCAATATTGTCAGGGTCAAGGGACATTCTTTAAATCTGGGAATATAGGAGTTCATGCATTCCCCTCCTCCCACAGACACACCAAATGAACAGCTGCATATGGTACAATTCTCACTGAAAGAAATCAAGAAACTAGCTGANACATGGGCAATGAGAAAATAATCCACAATGAAATGAGTACGAAAGGCTCAGACACAATTTTGCTCACCTTCGCCTCCAACCCCAGTAAAGAGACATGCAGCTGGGAAGGGACCCTCAGCTCCCAGCTCTTCCACAGGAATGAGAGGTTTGGACCCCATAACAGTGTCACAATTTCTAAGACTCCCACCAAAGGGACTGGCCTCCCAATCTCCGAGGTCTGAAGGCCAGTGGAGCTTTCATCCGAAGACCTACAGGACTAGAACAAAAAAAAAAAAGCAGGTATAAGGGAAGCCAGCACTAATTGCCGCTATCACACTGGGGCTCAGAGCAGATAAAGCTGGCAGAAAAGCCCATCTCTCAGCCTCTCTTGAGTGGGGAAGGAGCTTGGTGGCGCCATTCCTGCGCGCGGGGGTTACTGCCTCTGTAACGGCTCGTACAAAACAAACTCTGAATGCTATTTTTGTTTCTTACCCTTTTCATAAAAGAAAAAGTCCTGTTGGATTTCTTTAGGGTTAGCACAAACAGGTGCAAATGTAGGTTTTTGCTAAGAGCAAAGTGGCATAGCACAAACTTTTGAACACTGAAGGATACCTATACAATGTTATATGTCAATTATATCTCATTAAAACTGGGAAATAATGCTTTAATGAAATACATATGTGGAAACATACCCATATATACAGGCATACCTCATGTGATTATACTTCATTTTATTGCACTTCACAGATTTTGCATTCTTACCAGTTGAAGGTTTGTGGCAACCTTGTATTGAACAAGTCAAATGGGGCCATTTTTCCAAAAGCATTGTTCACTTCATGTCTCTTCATCACATTTTGGTAATAATCACAACAAAATAAAAAACCTTCTGGAAGAGATTCACCATTCTAGATGCCATTAAGACATTCATGATTTATGAGATGAGGTCAAAATATCAACATTAATAGGAGTTGGGAAGAAGATGCGTCATACCTCGTGGATGACTTTGAAGCTTCAAAGTCACTTTCAAGACTTCAGGGCAGGAAGTCACTGCAGATGCAGAAATAGCAAGAGAATTCAAATTAGACGTGGAGCCTGAAGATGTGACTGAATTAATTAATCATTAATTAACCAGATTGAAATCCAGTTGGATGACATGTGAATAGATGGCATGTGATTAATGAAAAAAAAAGTATTCAGTATGACTGATGAGGAATTGTTCTAAGTAGGGACGTGGAGGAGTTTGTTTCAAAAACAAAAGATTTAGTATAAAAATAATTAAGGATAAATAACAAGATTAAATAATCTTTGTATTAAATCAATCTATTACTTTAATAAATTTAGCAGGATAAACAATCATTCATGGATGAAAATTAAAAAGATGGTCTCTTTAAGTTTCATTAGATCTCTGATTTGACAGAAGGAAAATGGTATAGACTCAGAGTAGCAATGACTCATACTATAAAAATTATTTTATCTTCCTGGCAATAGTCAATTTGATCCAAGTATGAGAATTTAAAGTTCAGCCTTTCCTGAAAGTATTGCAATATTCATGAGGAAAAAAAACAGTACAAGATATCTAATTAATCACATGTTTGCATAATGCAGAAGTGTGAGGGCAGAGGCTTTAGAGGCTTAAGTCCCAAGTGACACTAAGTAAAAATAAAATGCCATCTGTCTGTATTGTCAGGTACCGGAGGCAAGCACGGAAAGACTTGCTCATCACAGGTAGGTTTGTGAGTCTCTAAATTTAAAGAATGAAGAAATAAACCTTACATTTGGAAAACTGAAGAATCAAATATTTAGAAAACTATGTTTAGAAATATTTTCTAAACTCTATGTTTGTAAAACATATTTTTGACTTACTTCCTTTGGTTAAAAGTCTGCAATTGAATGGCAATGAAATGACATTTCTTAAAAGCGGGGTGAATCAGACTCACCTTGATCAGCAAATGAACAGTTTTACTTACTTATGTCTTAATCACAACTAAGCAGAAAAACATTGGGTGTTTTCATCACTGTGAAAGGGAATATGCAAATTTAAGATGTTTTTTCTATTTCATTTACCAGTAATTGAGATATCATAATACACATACGAGTCTGTGTAAAATCAACCCCATATGAAACACATACTGTATTTACTCCAGCTTTTAAAAAACCAGGCCATCACTCATGTGTCAACTCTCATATATCATCAGAAAGACAGGTGTATGCATGACCCAGCACACGCCAATAGAAGCTTGTATATCTAAAACATATTTATTATTATTCTTCCCATCTCTATTTCTAATGAACAACTCAGGCGTAAACTCCATGAAAATGAAAATCTATGTGTTAAATTCTATTTTTCCTCTCTTTTTAGCATTTCATTTTCCTGGTAAAGAGACACGCCTTTTGACACCAGACCACTCCTACATGAAAGTAATAATAATGTGGCAAAGCAGTAAAATGTTTCTAGAGAAAAGTTTACTCAAATATATCTCGTGTCTCAATAAATACTAAAAACAATAGAGACCAAGAACAGTAATGTCATATTGTTCATTATCTTAAAATTAGAGATACGTTCATTGTGTCTGAATTTAACACACAGTCTTAAATGAATCATGATTCTTGAGGAACTCAGCAAGTCCAATCATTATTGTGCTCAACTGGATATTTATGTTTCAAATGAAAGGCTGTATACTCCAGCTGTCCTTAATTTATGTGTGACTTTCATAGCATATTTGACCTGTGATGAGCTGTCAGTTCATGATTGACTTCTGAGATTAAGCAGTGAAGATGGACACAACCACATACCTGATGGGTGGTATCTAAACCCAGAGCCGAACTTTCTGTAAATCCTATCCCAGACACTAACTTTTGTCAATAACATAACAGTGAAACTTGTCTGGGCTATTTTTTGAAGATCAAGAATATCATGTACTGAAATAAAT